CTACCAACAACTACTTAGTTTGCCATATCAGCATCCGCTTGAATCGAACGTTAACTCACCATCTACCAACAACTACTTAGTTTGCGATATCAGCATCCACTGGAAGCGAACGTTTACCTGTCGTCTACTAACCAATCTATCCCCGTCAGTATTAGCTCAGACAGTTGAAGAAAAGTAGGACGTAAAACTCCATTCTACTTAATTTCATTTTTCAGTTCTATCTTTCTAATCGAAATTTTACCCATGAAATAGGATGTGATTCTTATCTGAATAATATTAAAAAATTTCTTACCCTTGTGAACTCTCGAGATTAAAATGATTAAAATAAAGATAAAGATGAGTTGAGGGTGGGGCGGTAATGATAATCTGACAATCTAGAAGATCAGTATAACCGAATGGGAAACCAGGACTCTGTATATCTACTGTAGATTCTATATTGGGAATATGTAGCGTCTGATCACAAGTTGATACTTTCTGTACACTTGGCATAAAACCTACAAAGAGAATCAGTCAGTATTATAAACATATTTCAAAGTTTGGTAGACAAACAAATAACAAACTAAATCTTTACTAATTGAGTACAAAACAAAATTAAATTAAATGAGTTTCACGTCCTACTTTTCTGCATCATGCGGGCTAATGAAGACGGGCGATGCTATGTGGGTTGCAATGAGAGAAATTTTACCAGGACTGCTCTTTTTGATTTCCAACTGTCTTTATCATTCACAGCTTTGAGCACACATTCAAAAAAAAAAATAATAAAAATCCGAAGATATTATCCCGACCTATGCCGCGATTGATCCCTGAACCTTCAGGTTAGCGGGCAAGCGTCTAACCAACTGACCCCTACGGCTCCAGATTACAAAACAAGAAAACAGAAAAGAAAATTGAATCATTCAGTAGTATAAGGGCAACAGACTGTTGAATCCAAGATCGAATACCAAACTATACGATAATCAAAGAGTACAGACTTTAAGAATGAAATACATGCATTACAAAGTACATAGGCAAAGTTCCTAACCTGCTACCAATTTATTGCCAATACTGCTTGTTTTGTTTGTAATTAATCTTATTTACTCTGAAGAAGGAAGTACAAAAATGGCATTGCCCTGTCCTAAATTTTCTAAATCCTTTGTCATGATAATGTCTAATAGGTTTATATCTAATTAGATTACAGATATATTTGATTAAGTTTCAACTTTTTCCCTCATATCATAGACAAAGTTGATTAGCAACAAGATATACAGAGAAGAACTTGAGAACAGTAGATGCGGGCGGAAAGGGGGTTGTAGTAGAATATTAAAAGAGGAAGGATGAGAGAAGATACAGGCGAAAGGAAGTAGAGAAGAAGAAATAGATTAAGACAAAGTAGAGAGAAAAGAAATAGAGAAGAGCAAGAAACGAAGAGAAAGAAAGGGAATATAGGGAAGGAAGAACAGACGGGAAGGTGGTAAAGAAGAAGCAGAAGGTAGTTAAGAAGAGGGTGAGGTTAATTAATTTATGAAGAGTTTGTAGGAGAAGAAATGAGATGAATGAGCACTTATCAGAAGGCATGTAGTTAGGAGTGAGTAGCTGAAAGGGTCGATGGATGTTCTCTTAAATTGACAGGTACTCGTTGTACCTCCGTGCAATGCTTCGAATTCCAGTTTTTTTTTTTTTTTTTTTTTTCCAGTACTTAGAAGACTTATCATTGGTAACCATCTTTAACCGTTCTAATATAATTCAAACAATTTTCATAAACAGCCTCAGTGGTCAAATAAAATTGCAGAGAATTCCCTCCCTTTGGATAAAACGTATATAAAACGTTACTATTTAAATTTATAAATTGTATTCGCATTTTATAAAAATTCGGTAGCAATTCTAAATTTTCCAAAACGAATCTGGCAGTAGATGGATTCAACGACTGTCAGCAACTGGTGACATATTAGAGAATCTGATCATCCGTTGTACCTACCATTCTCATAGCACTGACAAACATAGAAATTCCTGGCATTGCAGTCTCGATCATTCCATTTATAATCGGTCGTTAGTCTCGAACCTTTAGTCGGTAACCTGAACGATCGTCTTAATTCAACACAGTCTTCGTTTGACCAGCCGTCGTCACTGGGTTGATCTTGACTATCTTCATCCCAACCCTTAAACCAATCTGAAAATAGATTAACTCTTCTCAACTACCAAACTAACAGTCCTCAATCACTAAATTGGTCCAGATTCCAATATTACGACTACCAATAACTACCTAGTCAGTGATCTGCGATATCAGTTAGCTGGACGCATACGTTAACTTGTTATCTGACAATAACTACCTAGTCTGCGATATCAGTTAGCTGGACGCAGACGTTCCAGTCTTTCTTTGGAATGGTGCAATTACGCCCGCCCCCTCTAAAGATGGTGTTCGTTGTAAAAGATGTGACATTAGAATTCCTCTTTATGAATCCAATCAGTATACCCCAAGGATAAACTAGATCAATGTAATAAATGCAGTGAAACATTACCAGAATAAGTTGTTTTTGTACCATCTGTCCAATAAAAATCTTTCTCATACTGAAGATCGTTTGCTCCAATCCAGAATGACGTATCATCGGATATACACGGGCTGAAGTAGATCGAAACATACTTGACATTACTCGTCAGATTATATGGCATCTTTAAATAGTGATATATTGAATTAATGACATGGCTGGAGTAGGTCAATCAGACCAAATCATAACAGACTTCAAGGTCTAAGAGTAAAATTTTGACTGCTAATCTCACAATCTTATCTGGATTGGATTAACTGGATTATAATTTCGTTTCTATTTTTATACGAATTATGGGATAGCCAAACCCAATGTGGCGTCATATTGCCCTCCTTTGGGTGTCAGAGGGGTTAAGTCGATGCGATCATATTGTTATTACATGACACAGTTTGTAAAACAACGTCATTAGAACGGGACTGCTGTAGGAAACTTGTTATATTACGATGGAGACGAAAATTGCGAGAAAAAAGAAACGAAATTGTTATCTTATTTCGATTAGGTTACGTTTCACAGGATTCTGCATTTTTCGGAGTTTTTTTTTATTCTGTTATAGAATCTATGAACTTTAAGAACCGTATATGTTTCAAAATTGCGTACTCTCATGACATTTACAGATACATTGTATTTGCATTTGTATTACGAGATTTTCTTTTAGATATTTATTTTAAGATGTATGATGTATGTGCTCGTTATCTAATATGACAGGTCAAAAACATCATTATTTTTATAAAAATATATTATGATACCAATTTCTACTTCTTTGAAGAAGCTGAGGACGGCCTAGGTCGCGGATATATAATGTCATCTAACCTTTGCTATAGCACAATCATTATTATCAATTTTTTGAAGGTATCATGATGATAGAGACAAGAAAATCTTATTTGAAACGTCGCTTAAATCAAGTCAGTAATTGTACTCTATAAGAAGTATGTCATCAAACCACTTTTACTTAAGGTCATTCAAGGATTATTAGTTATTGCCAAGTGAACAAAGCATCACTGAAATTTAATCTGTCTGTTGTATGAGCATGCTTTTCAATAAGCCATTGTGTTTGGCAGCTTTAGGTCAAAGACACGTGCATATTACAGTATGCTAAAGAGGTCAATAATTACCTTTTATGTAATTGGCTGTTCAACATTTTCTGTTGATTTTCATTGATAATGGAGGCTAGGTGACCACCACGTGACCTACAGTCTGCTTCACTTTCCCGCCAAGATTTCGTCCTATAAATAACTTCAAAACAAACACCATTCTGTACAGTCAAAGTTGGCGGACAGACATCATCAGAGCTGATGTTAACACTCGTCCATCGCAAACTGAATCCAGATCGTGTAGTGTTTGTATTGCTCACAAAAGTTAATATCACTTGTTTCCTCGTTGTTCTAAACGTTAATTCTGACGTTCGATGTTTCCAGTTCCCGCAGATTCTGTGATTTAATTCTCCTGATTTGATTTCCAAATAGTCATTGGTACAGTTTTCATCACGTAACGGTAAATCATTCACAGATTCAGTATCGAAATGATCGAACTGAACCACGAAACCGGAGGAGGGGATAACTAAAGTAATATCGATCCGACACATTTCGTTATTCATATAAGAATAAGGGTAATTTATGGAGTTCCAACTCCCAGTCGGATCCGTTAATGTTCTGTTCCTACACATAGTAATTTGAGTGTAAAAGAGTTCGAAACCCGAATTCTGGTGATGATGATCAGTTTGAAAATGAATAGTCACGTTGTTGGATTGGGAAATAAAGATGAGTTGGTCTTTTGTGTAGTTTGTAATAATAGAACACCAGGATTTAGAAATATTGCTCACATTATCGACTATATATAGACGATCGTTACAATTAGAAATTTCTAGAGACAGATTTGTAATACGCAAAAATATGGAATACGAGCCTGAGATAATGATGTTGATTCTACAGATGGTGTTGGGTAAATAATGGGCTGGAAACAAGGGACTACTGATTATTCCCGATGAGTCTGTTACAGTCTTGGAACAATCTGGAGAACAAAATTTAACACTCTGAAAATAGCTCTGTCAATTAAAAAAGATATTAATTTGAGTTTCAAATCATTTTTAATGAGGCTAGTTCAAGTCGGTTATCTTTCCTTGGTCAAGATTTGTCGTAACCTAGAATGGCACTTCTACATTTCTGTTCTTGCAGCGACATCCAGTGCGCTATAAGAAAAGCCTCCCCTTGAGATTCTATAGTTTGGAATCCGGGAAGGTTGAACAGGGTTTTGTCAAGGGTGTTGGAATTGGGTTGATTTAAAGGCAATCCTTTACCTAAGTAAAATGATTAGAAATATATTTAATTAGGTGTCGAAGAAAACAACATAGAAAAATATCGAAACATATATTGTTAGGGTCCGCCAATGGGGAACAGAGTGTCGAGGGTGGGGGGGGGAGTGGTTTGGGTTCTTTCGAAGAAACATTAATGTGTTTTTTTAATTACGCGTAGAGGGAAATTAAATTTAATCAACTCCAACCATACCTTGTAGTTGTTGAGCAGTGTAGTCAATCTGGAAGCCTGTGTTAGTGATAGAATTATCAGAGTAAAATTCTATTACAACCCAGTTGGTATTACTGTCGTATGACTTATATTCTAAATCTGTATAATCACACAACCTGTCCGTTGTATTATTATCATAATTCAATGTAATATAGTCTAAACACATGTTATTGGTCTTCTCTAGATTTAATTTCTGTATCTGAAATCCAGGATTCAAAAACATAATCTAATGGTATTTCCAAAGATGATTGTTTCGTCTGGTAAAGAAAGCCAGATCATTATATTGAACACCTTTTACGGCCGGTTGATAGATCCAGACTACTTTGCAAAAGGCGGAAGTGAGCAAAGGTTTTTACAGGTTATTTGTAGCTTTTATATAGAAGCTTTTGTAATAGTGACTGAACATTGCAATAGTGGACATTATCTGTGTCCCCGATACACAGAACAACTCTAAAAAAACAATTATTTACCTGCAAGTGAAGTTTATAAGATTTATCAACCACTATAATATAGGTACAGTTTAAATTGCTGGGATAATGAGCCGGAAAATTAGGAGAGCTGACTTCACCATAGAGGTCTGTAAAATACTTTACACAACCTGCAAGAAAAGTTTATATTAGTAACACAGTCGGTTAGAGTGTTACAATTTGCCGAAATCTGCTTAGTTGAGCTTTAGGTACTGTTCCGCCGAACAAAGGATGTCTTGGAGCATTCGAAAGGCTGGTTAACTTGAACAAGCCATCTTTCCACCAGTCGATGCAGCTGTTAATGAGTGCGGATGATCCACTGATAGACAGGGTCCTTGTTAACAATGGGTGTTTCTCTTACGTCATTGCGGGTAGTGTAGTAATCAGTATTGAGACCTGTATTTGAATTAGATCAGTAAATGTCGAGAAAAGCGGATTAAACTCCGTACGAGCAAAAATATTCCAGGAAGCAAAAATCTCGTCCAAAGCATGACAAAGATATTATCTTATTGGTCAAATCACACCAATTATCATGATCCCTCGCCTATCATTATTGCTAATTACCCGGATATTAAACTGCGCGCATCAGCGGTGTCAAAACCACAACATGGATTCTGAATAGCACATGGTGAAAAAAAAATCAGTATGACGAAGAAAAAAAATATGTTTATCTTGAGCTTGGAGCAGTTTGTAGAAAAAACATGGACAAAAAGAATCTATGTCTATATTCGCAAGCAGCTCAGCGTAATCTGTGGTCTCTTCAAATGTGCGAACAATTACTAATTCATTCGAAACTATTTCAAAAAGTGAACAACGCCCGCATCTAACTATTGATGAGGGTAAGGTTTAAACCACAAGGTGCGTAGTTATAGTTCTTTCTGGGCAAAATTCGACAGTAAATTGACACAGCGAACTCGATACTTGTCTGTCAATACTCCGGGCATGGCTTTTAATCTGAGGTTGAAGGGTTTTTCGCTTAAAAAGCAACAATTAGAAGACACCATAATCACTAATAATCACAAATGTGTGACGCCAATCTCCGTTTAAAATTATTATTCCGACATTGATGATAAAAAAATTGTTTTTAAAACATGGAATCAAGACCCTAACAGCCTCATTATAACTAATTACTAAATCTGAGTCGATAAATCAATAATCTTTAGGGTGCATAAAACAAGATTCGCCTACATAGTTTACAAGGATGGCAATTTGAAAAAAACACGCAGGTTATCGAATTACAAACTGGATTTAGCTTAAAAATAGAACACCGAATCACGAATCACTACAAAAAGCTATCCAAAGCCTGATCCGGTGACTCGGACGCAGCATTAGTAGATTTATACGGAATGAAGAACCGCCAATCATAACCGAAGTTTAGCAGGTATATAACAAATCACCAACTTGATTCAGACTCTGGTCAAGGCAAACAGCTATTATTGCCAGTGAGAATGCTTTGAAATGTTGTCGTATTCTTAATTCAATTCTTTTGAGCGTCAAAGAGTTACAAAACAATTGTTTTCAATTTGGTTATCTTCGCAATGTCACGCAATGACGCACTTAAGATGGAGGTACAAATTTTGTCCGGAAAAATAATTAATTAGACTTGTTATTGGCATGTCGTATCGTTATAAAGCTTAATGAATCACGACAATCGCCGATAGTTTTTCAATAATATGTCATTTGAGTGTCTATATTGAAGTTTAAATAGATACTTGCGCTGAATTATTAATTGAATGACCTCTAATTAGTTTTATATGATTTTTAATTTCTGAATGTTTAATTGACATGATTTGGCCACCTTTTGATTAGTACAATTCATACCTGCTAATCAGTACAATTAATAAAATAACTAGGTCGACTAGCAGTGACAAACAGAGTGACAAAGATCTAAAATGTCTAAATTTGAAAAATTTAAAGTATACAGCATAAGAGTAAGCTCCTGTCGCAGTTAAATTACATCGTGTCTTCATTTCCTGAATTTGGTAAAAATGAAATGAAATGAATGGAGATTTACGTCCTACTTTTCTGTGCCGTGTAGGTTATTGAATACGGGCAACACCATGCAGGGTGCGATGGGGGAAACTTCACCAGGATAGCGGCATTAGCCTACTCTTTTCGATTTCAAACTGTCGAGAGATATTTTGCGTTCACAGCCAGTAGCACACAAAGCCTCTGTTTTTCACTCACAGCATGTACAAGGTGCCTCGGTTTGTGTTCAAGAAGAAATATTTTAAAACCTAAAAAGGTTAAATAAATGTATATCCTAGCTGAACGATTTCAGCACTGACGATTCCATTGGAGATTTTTTTTTCAAATATGATATTTAGAAATTTAGAATGAAATAAGTAAAGGGAAAATTCTGCTTACCTGTTGGTGGGTAGAGGACAGTAGATAAATCAAATTGAACATCATTATTATAGACTAGAGTACATCTACAAATAAATTAACAGCAATAAACAGAATGATAACTACAAAGATTATAATATTAAAAAATCGAGTGGTTTGGAAAATTTATGAACCAAATGACGTACAAGAAGAATTGAGTTCAAACGAAATAATTATTTCGATTAAACGAATTAATTAATTCGTTTAAACAAAATAATAAATAAATATGTTTACAATTGCGCCTTAGGGGCTCCGTAGTATACAGCTTCACAGCTTTCTTTTCGTTTCGATGTGAATTGTATGTTGTGTATCAAGACATTATTGGAGTATGAACGAGCTTACTGTCTAAAGATTGGATTCGTATTAACTGCAAGTTATTCCAATCTCATAATACTGTTTTCTTTTATGATTTATGCAATGCTGTAACAACCACATGACAATTGATCAAAGTAAAACGAGACAGATCAAATTTATTTATCAACCATCTCATGTTACAAAGCTACCACATTCCAAACGCACTCTTACTCAGGCATACATCTAACATGTTTAATGATTCGCCTACTCTCATTACACGATTTGTTTCTGATCCCAAGTCCCAATAGATAGAAGAGCTTCAATGAATTAGCGAATGAATTAGTGAATGCCTTTGACAGTGGTATAACCTAAAGTGATTAAACCAGTGAATGCTTATACGGTGTTAGTTAATCCTGCCTTATTTATTATTAATAATTACAAATAGAATTGATGATTACATAAACAGTGCTATATATATAATTCTGATTAAACTGTACAGTTTAGGTGTCGCAAAGGATGAGTAGAAACTCTAAATACAAACTTGATTATTCTGTTTATGTAAACTGAATGGTTTAACATTCGGAGCATAAAGACTAGTTCCAAGTCGTGTCAGAACAAAATTAAGTGACATGTTTAGCACACGAGGACTCGGTTTATTGTACCATACTAACGACTAGACACTTTTCCCATGTCATCCCCTTCGACGATAAAATGGAAATAAGACTGAAAAAGGGGTATTTTTTTTTACCTATTCTAGGATTGAACTATGGACCTTCAGGGTAATAAGCAAGCGTCTAACTCACTGATTCGTCAGTGGTATTAAAAAATTGAAAGATGAAGAGGAAATAAAAACAACAGAACGATTCGTGAAATTAAAAGAGATCCATTGAAACTGGAGTTTCATTGTTTATTTGTTAGTAAGATAATTAGAACCTGCCTTGTAAGAGAACACTGATTAATCAATGAATGAACGCATTGTTTTTCTAACAATCAAATACAGAAGTAATCAGAACTCTGTTGAGATACATGAATTAAGAATAATATTTTTCTCCAATTTCAACCTTTCCTAGGTTGGCTCAGTTCGGATTACCTTCATCAATAATAACTATCAGAGACTAGGAATAGGGTCAGCAAGCTTCTGACTGACCTACATCAATATTAACTATCACGGATACACATGGTGTCAGCAAGTTACCCACGGACGTTCACCAATAATAATTATCAGAGGTTGGGCGTAGAGTCAGCAAATTTCTGAATAATTTAACCAATAATAATTATCAAAGGCTGGACATAGAGTCAGCAAGTTTCCCACTGACGTTCACCAATAATAATTATCAGAGGTTCAGCATAGAGTCAGAAAGTTTCCTACTGACGTTCACCAATAATAATTATCAGAGGCTGGACATAGAGTCAGCAAGTTTCCCACTGACGTTCACCAATAATAATTATCAGAGGTTGGGCGTAGAGTCAGCAAATTTCTGACTAATTTAACCAATAATAATTATCAGAGGTTCAGTATAGTGTCAGCAAGTTTCTGACTGACGTTCATCAATAATAATTATCAGAGGCTGGACATAGAGTCAGCAAGTTTCCCACTGACGTTCACCAATAATAATTATCAGAGGTTCAGCATAGAGTCAGAAAGTTTCCTACTGACGTTCACCAATAATAATTATCAGAGGCTGGACATAGAGTCAGCAAGTTTCCCACTGACGTTCACCAATAATAATTATCAGAGGTTCAGCATAGAGTCAGAAAGTTTCCTACTGACGTTCACCAATAATAATTATCAGAGGCTGGACATAGAGTCAGCAAGTTTCCCACTGACGTTCACCAATAATAATTATCAGAGGTTCAGCATAGCGTCAGAAAGTTTCCTACTGACGTTCACCAATAATAATTATCAGAGGTTCAGTATAGTGTCAGCAAGTTTCTGACTGACCTTCGCTGAAAATAACTGACAGAAAATAGAACAGCAGCAAGGTTTGGACTTGATTTATAACAAATAGAAACGGCTTCACAGATTATTAATATTAGTATAAATAAATAAGATTTCACATACCTTATTTCTACAGGCTTGACGCCTATGTCCGGTTGCCATAGAAACGTAAAAGGGAATGATATATCAGAAAGGTTAAGAGGACAGTGTATTCCTTGTTCATATCGTGTCTGGTTTGTTACTATAAATAGACCTGTAATTAATCCGCTTCCTGATGATGACGTAATTGTCACTGAAAAGAAACATGAATGAAAATTATAAATAGGTCTTGAAGGTTAATCTTGAACCATTAATGAGTCCATCTAGAAATATTGATATTTTATAATGTCATTTGGCCCCAAATGGTACCACAAACAGTCTAGGGGTATGCATCTCCTTCTTCATACAACACTGTAAGTTAAGCCAATCCCTCGACTGTACATGGGATATTGAACAATATTCGGTAGTGTCTTGATTGACTTATTAATGACTCAGCTTCGTATTGATACCAATAGTTTTGCCAAAATTTGCTTTTGTCGTGGTGAAAATTCTCAAAAAACTAGCTATTCAAAGATTGGATAGGAGCACCTTTTAAACAGCGACATTTTATGTCATGCCATAAACGTGCCGATAACACAGTATGTTTTAAACTATAGTTATAATCATGTCCAGATATTCTCAGTAGGGATTCCAGGGATGGAAATAGAGAAGAATTGTGTGCATGAGAATAATGGATTACAATTGAAATCGTTCTTTCTTTCTGTTTCTGATTACTTACTGATTACTTATCATATCAGCTGTCAGTTTTATACAAATAAGCTACTTAAATGCTGATTGAAAATAAGAGGCAAAACACTTATTAAACTTTAAAGGTTACAAAACCATTTCGATTAGGGAATCACACGATATGTAACCAGAGTTGATTGTCCGTAGGGGCAAGTAATATATCTGGAGGGGCAATGGATTGTTATGTTTAGTTGCAGAGATGATTAAGGTCGACCATCAGAATCTTTTCGGGGCCCATGCCCCATCTAGCTACGGGCCTGGATAGACCCCCTCCCCCCCCCCCTCCCCGTCCCCCGAAAGATTTGCTTGCAATAAAGAAGACATACTCCTTTAAGGGAAATCACATTTTAAGCTAGATGAACCTCTCAACAAGCATAATTAAACGAGAATAGTCTTGACAATATGCCATTTGTTTAATTTCCGAACTGAGCTCACCTTCATAAAAAAGACCAGTAATTAAATAATGAGTTTTAAAAGTTCCGATTGAAACTTCAATGGTCCCATTAGGTCTGGTATTGGTTTGACTGTTGTGGTTTTTAGAATCTGTGTTTAGGTCAGTGCTGATGGTTGATTGGCTGGTCTGAATCGTTGGGCTCTCCGATTGGTTGAAACTGACAGTGCTGATTTTTGATTGGTCTAAACTTTCAGTACTGATATCCGATTGGTTGAAACTTGCAGTGTTTTTGTCTGACTGGTTTGTTTGAAATTGAGCGTTGTCTGGTATTTCTCCACATAAGATAGTATTGGTGAGGACTATTTGTTGTTCATGAGTTTGGTATATACAGAAAGAGAAAAGCAGGAATGGCAGGATCATGGTCAGTTTC